GATGACAATCTGGAAATCCAAACTAAATGCATAATGTTATTTTTTTTTTTGGGAAAAATTCCATATGTTATTATTCTATTAATGATCTGCATGATGTAGTACTTGAGTCATTTTGTGAAACCAAACATGCAACTATATGAGAAATACATAGTAATACAAATAAGTATTGCATTTCAATTGTAATGATAGTTAAATAGATCCGATGGGGTATTTAACTGGTTGATTGTCATGATGAATTAATAATGGAAAAAATAAAACTGAAATGAACTCGAAGATGTTTCCTTCATGGTCAGTTATGGTGTTTCCATTTTATTTAAAGCTTTTAATTTGGAATAGCACTTACAGGCCATGGTCACCTTTCAAGCATACTTGTAATTGCTTGATTTAGACTGTTCACGTCTAATTAGCAATACATGAATTGTTTGTAGCATTTTAATGAAAAAAAACATGTGCTCATTTTCAACATGAGAAAAATGACACTAAATGAGAAATATTATTTGGTGTTCGATTGATTATATTAAACTATTCATTTTGCCCATATTTTGATTATCTGATGGCATAATATAGTAATTCGTTTTGAATAATTGAATGTTATTATATTATTTGTATTTGAGAAGGGAAGATATATATTTTACGTGGTTCCATGTAATGGTCCTCATTGAGTCCATCAAAATGGAAAAGAAATATTTTCACAATATGAGTAATAGTTTATTTTGCACTTTTGATGTGTATCTTGATAAATGATAGTGATGCCTTAGTAACGACATTTATATGCAATTGTTTGGCATTAATATGTGCCACTGACTCATTGGTATTTTATTGTTATCAATTAATTGGGAGTTACAATTTGCCAAGTTGAATGGACGATCAAAAAGGGGCATTAATGGATTAAACATTACTTTTGAAATGGATTGAATATTTCATGTCCCTGGTTTTATGAAAATGGTAGTCACCTCATGGGTGACTATAAATAACTAGCAAAATGGATTAAAAATATTAACTAGGGCATCATAATGTTATTTAATGACGTGCATATTGTTAAAAGAATTGCTTGTGACAAACAATGCTGGAATATTCATGAGACTAACTTAAATGGCCCTATTGCGGTTCATGAATATTTCTTATGAGCCTGTGTTGCAAGCACTTCGGAAAATAGTATAGAATCAATTGATCAAATGTTTGAATGCAATAATAGGAGCATGATTTTTAAAATCTCTGCAAAGTCTTTGTTGTACGTGAAAGAATATAGTAACATTATTCAACATTTTTGGAGAGAATATTGATTCTTTTGTCCATTTTATTTTGTGGAAAATTGACAAATTGAGTGTTCCATGCGTGGAAAGGGCTAAGTATGATGTATCCCGTTGATATATGTGTCTTTTATTTAGATATTAAACTCTTAGATATTTGTTCTCTATGAAGATATAGTCTATAAAAGAAAATCTGTTCTCTACTAGACTAAGTTTGAGAACCAACACAATAAAACGACAATAGAATTGGAAAAGTGGTACAATAGGTGAGTGATGCACCAATAGGTGACTTCTTCGCAAATCATAGAATTGTCTATGAAGTGACTACCATGTACTTACATGAATCCAATCAGATTGTGGACTGAAATGTCACAAGTTGATGAAAAAATGAACTTGATTCTCTATTTCGGGTATTATCACCCAAATGTGGGGGAAGTTTCTTGTGAAGTGATTACCTTATTAAGGTATCGTGAAAGAAATTGCGACCACCCTACAAACACTTGCGAGTGTGGGGTTCTTATACAAGTAATGCAATCAAACACTTGCGAGTGTAAAAGTATCTTGGTTTTAATACTTGCATTAAAGGCAATACAGATAAATCCTATAACGTTGGATTATATTTTTATAAGCCATGAGTACATTACAGTACCATGTAGTCGTTCCTTGTGTATATTTTTGAATTTGTCAAATTGACAAAAGAACACTATATATGGTGCGATAAAAAGAATATGTAATTCTTTTGGAAAGAAAATGGTTCAAGTTGAAGAACCAAGATGTGGCTAAGAGCCAAATGAAAAATCATTTAGAGATTATTTGAATCCTATTTATTGGGAAATGAATCATGAACTTATGTTTGTTCTTGTGAGGAATTTTTATGGAGAAGTCATAAAGAGTGTCGATTCTATTCTGAAGAATCATACTTGGAAGTAAGTTTACTTCACTAAGTAATGAAAGTAAATAAATTTAGATTGCTTAAAATGTATTTTCTTGTGGTGAGATTGAAGGATTCCCTTCAATGGGATTGGAGCAACAAGAGGGTTTCAAGCTCCAAGTACGGATAAAAAAAATTGGTAAAGTCTAAGTAGGCATGGAACATGTTCAAAGATTACCAATAGAAATCAAATAGTATGTCTATGCCAAAAAGACATGAATCTAAGGCATTTTATGTCTATATGAGAAAGATATACTTAATCGTCGGTAGCGATAAAAAAATTGGGCAAGTCCGTTAACATGTCAAACTGGAAATTTGACAGATGGGACTTGTTGATATGATTTTAAAAGGTTAAAATCATCGTCTTATTCTGAGTCAGAATCATAAACAAAACTCTTACAGAGTTTGAATGAGAATGATTCTAGAGTTGCTAAAACAACATTAGAAGATATTCTTCGTTTATCCTAGTTCCTTGGAAAGAGTATTATTTAAATAGAATACTCATGGATAATCGAGAGACTAATGCATCTAATGAGTTGCAGTAGATCAGATAAATGCTTATGAAGTAGATCAGATAAATGCTTATGAAGTAAGCTGGTGAAATGCACACAGAAGTAATAAAAGTGAAGTGCATTTGAATGTTGTTGTTGAAGTATTGAGATACTGATGATATACTTGTGTTGAGTTATATCATAGTAGATATCCAATTGTGTTAGAACGCTACACAGATACAAACTGGATATTGCGTGCTGATTACTCAAAAATACACTAACGGCTATGGATATGGTTGAATGCTAGCGTGGACATACGTGTCTTGAAAATTCCTAAAATTAGATTGTGATAGCCAGATTCATGATGAAATCCGAATTGTGTATCGGATAGTTGTGAGACAAAGGCTAAATGGTATCGCTAGTTTTGAATAATATTTCAAAATGAGGATGATTGTGCCACTGATTTATTAATCACAGATGTGGAATGACACGTTGTCAATTGTATAATGGTAACTCTCAACATTATCTTGTTGTAGATATACTATCATTCTGCAAATATTCTCAACTATAGTTATCTCGATTGACTATGTGAAGTCGATAGATAACATTGCGGATCCGGTAACCTGAGGGTTAAACAAAGAGATAGTTGAGAAAATGACAAAAAAAAAAAAAAAATGAGACAGCCTGGAAAGTACAAAAGTCTTTTGAAGGAAAACCCAACCTAGTTGACTGGAGATCCCAAGATCTAGGTTCAATGGGATAACCTAATCTTAAGACTTAGTGTGGTCACTGTGCGGGTAACTTCAGCTCATTTTTGTCATGAAACAGTGATATAACGGATAAGGATAGCAAACTATTGCTTTAATGACTCTTAAGTGAGTAATATCATTTACTCCAGACTTATGAAGTCATCTATGTAAAAGAGAAGATGGACCGCTTCAAAGGAGAATTGGTCAGGCTCAATTCTTTAGAAACTCTTGCAGAACCAGGACATGTTCATGGTCAAAATGAATAAAATCATGAGAATGGAGCTAAAAAGAAATGGTTCATGTGTATTATATATTGGTTTCTTTATACAATACAGCCGGACAGTTCAAAGACATTGCATCTACCGGACAGCTAGTAAAGCAGACTTACATTACAAGGGGGAAGTTCAAAGGGTAACACTTACTTTCTCTATGCAGGGACCCGTTGATGAACATCAATACCTTGTCAGAAACAATTTTCATTCATGTGGGAGATTGTTAGAAATATAGTTATTTATAGATGTGAATGAGAAATGTGTTTCTCATATAATTAGAAATAGTGTATAAGCTAGTTGTTGCTTGACTCATGTGTAGGTGCAACCTACGCACGCGAATGCCAGACTGTAATTTGCGGACCTGATCAACCCGTGTCTTACAATTAGTTAGGAACTTCCAATGTCATTATTGGAGAGGTTGTAGTTTTTTTTAATTTTACATGAATTGGTAAATAATAAGAATAATAAGTTGACCGCCTTTATGGCTTTTAATGTGGATTAAATTTGTTGTAATTAATTATTTAATTTGATAAATAAATCCAGTGGTTTTGTAACCTTTCTTTATACCTATAAGTGCTATAAAATATCCAAGAATTCTTAAACCAAGAAAATTAACCCAAATTTCTTCATTCTTTTTTGCCAAAATCCTCCTACCTTCCTTGGTGTTCATCAAAGTCTTAGTTCAGTTCGCCGATGATTTAGTCTAAGTGCAAGACTAGATCATGTTATTCGTTGTATCCTGGGAGACGGAAGCTCATTCATCCTCAAGCACTCTGTGAGAGGGAGCGAATCTGTTTTAAGGAGAACGTGTATTCACGTGTCTCGAAATTTTTTTCCTATTTCTTGAATTCTTGTTGCCATCACAAACAGCTTCCAATACATTTTTTTTCTAACACTTACTAGCTTGCAATTTTCCCCCAAAATATCAGTTATGTCGACCCAGGTCGACAAATCCCGGAGCTAGCGATATGCAGACATTTTCGAGGATCTGGTTTCAACTGTACTAAATTACCGATACTCCTTTTTCTCAATAGACTAAAGAAAATAATGAAATGAACAAAACTTGTTATATGGGTAGAAAACACGAAGTAATTTAATTAAAGATACTACAACTTTTGGTCCTTGTAAACTATTGAATGATAACTAGCTAGAACTGCACATAACAAAATTTGATCCGACAAAATCTTATCAACTTGAGCTTAAAGAATGGTAAATTTGTAGCCCATAGAACCGAGAAAACACAGTTTTTCGAATTTATTATTGCCCTGTTCCAAGGAAACCAAAGTAGACTCCCCTTGGACCGCATACTAGGAAAAACTTCTAATAGTTGAAACCCGAGTGATCTCAAGTTCAACTATAAAAGTATGTTTCACAAGAAAACCTTTTGATGCATCATGAAAGTCATCAAGTGACAAAAAGTTCCTCCATCCCCAACTCATACTTGTAGAAGAGAACAAGCGACCTCCTGCGAGTTAAGTTCAATGTTTACATAGACCACAAACTTTTTATTAATTAATTTAACAATTTATGATTCTTTTAAGAGTCAAAACGTGTCTAGCTTTAATTAATTTAACTCCTGCGAGTTAAGGTACCTTCCTCCTCGCAATGACAAGCGTGTATCTGGTCCTTGATTCTTAGCTTCCATTCTGTATAGACCTGGTCTCTTACACACGTGTCGTCTAATTGAAGATGGAATGAAATACTTTTGCCTTTCTCCGACCCAAACCCTCTTGGATGAAGGATGATTACCCTACATTAGAGAAAAAGAAGGGCACGCCGGTTTCGTTTCATGTAGTCATTTTCAACTGAAAACTACCGTTTGTTAGTTATAACGAACAAAGTTTGGAAAACATACCATTGGTGATTTCCAAAAGCGAATTCCGGGGAGCTACAAAGATCAGGCAAGGTTGAGTAATTAGCGACTTTCCAAGTGTAAATGAAAGACGGTTCTAGTTTCGTAGGCCGAGGCACACACTCCACTTTGCCACTGTAATTGCAAACTGAAATTTCAACTCCGAAAAGGCATTCATCATGGATTAGGGTTCCTTTTGTAGGATCATTAAAATCAGTGAGAGGAAGCATTCTTGGAAAACCCCATCTTTTATTCATCTCATTGAATCTTCTTTTTTCAGCTTTGCAAAAGAGAAGAAAAAATAGGGTAAACATAACCAATAACTAAATGGCGTAGAAGTTGAATATCTATAGATATGCAAGTTGAAAAAAAGAAAGGAAAAAGATGGAACCTTCAAATATCAAATACATTTCCCGAATATGATCGAACACAAAAAACTTGAAATCTGCTATCATTTCCCAACCAAGAGGCAAAGCACTAGACTCCTCAATACTCAAATAAAGGGATATATGTTTTGCCCCATTTCTTTCTTCATCACCATTCGGATAGAGACATAATTTCCTTCATAAAAATAAATATTATAATTGAGATGTTCGAATCATATATATTAATGCAGGGGAGATTTGCGGCACTTGTTCAATTTGTAGAAACCGAATTTGATAATTTGATATTATATCCCAGCATTGTTGATGAAATTCACCTCCAAAACCATCAACTCCAGGAGAGCTCGATGGATCAAGGCTGAAAACAGCATGTTTTATTTCTTCCATGGTAAGTAATTTCAAAAGATTCTCGTTGTCTTGCTGAGTCACCTCCGTAGGGATGCATTTTAAAAGCTCCTCGCATGCATCATTATGAATCAACAATAACCATGGTTTCTTCATAAATCAACAAAGTTTTATTCAAGAACAATATCGATTATGGAAAGGTACTTTGCGTACCCTGATTACCTTATGTGACCTGCATGTTTATTCTCTGTTTCATCTCAGAATCTGATGTGTTTTAAATATCCCACGTTACATCAAATATAAGCAATACTACTGTTGATTACGGTGGGTCCAAATTACAAAAACAAAAGAATAAAATACAAATAATATAATTATATATTAAAGATTTTTATCATATGATAAAGTGTAAACCCCAATCACCCTTTTTTCCGTATAAAAATATGTGATCCAATTACAGAATATAACGTGCAACAAATTATAATACATTAGTAATCCATATGGCAAAAAATTAGAAAGACAAATCTACGTATCGTAACCACATCACTCTATCATTTAATGGTAATTTTTTAATTATAAATTTATAGATAAAACTAAATAACTATGAGATTACCCCTTAACAGTAAATTATAATGTTAAAAAGGTGACAAAAAAGAAACTTCAAACTAATAAATCCATAGGTAACCAACTGAAATAAAAAAAAGAAATTTGACGTTAAAAAAAAAAACTGCTGCCATGATGAGAAAAGCCATTTCACCAATCAATATTGATTTCTATATTTACATGTTAAAAAGTGTAACCATTAATCAAATTTTTGTTATACAATAGTTTTTCAAGAAATAAAGTTTTAAGAAAAGGTCATCAATTTTTTTTTAAAAAAAGGCGAACTATATATAGAGAAAGTACTATAAATTTTTCTTATAAAGTACTATATTATAAGAAAAATATATGAGCAAACATCGAAAGAAAGGTTGTAAAAGATATATAGAGACAGAAAATAAAGATAAGTTCATGATAAGAAATAATGAAAAAATTTTCTATTAGAGGGAGGGTTTAAAAGATATGACACGAGTAAAATATTTAGAGAGATCATTATAAAAAATTAAGAGAATATTTTTAAAATACGAAAAAATGCACAAGAATTTACATTTTATGATTTCAAATATTGAAAGTATTCCAAATATACTTAAAATAACAAAAAACATAGATATTAAAAATTACATAGTTTTAATTTATATCATTAATATTATTTTTTACCAATCCGCACAACATACGGGGTAAACACTAGTATATATTAAAGGGGAGTTTTCAATCGATACATGTCGCTCAATTAGATAGTTCAGAGAATTCTTTGCCACATGTCAAGTTAAGAGTTTTTTTTTTGACATGTGTCAACGCCAGAGACCGAATTTAATTAAAGTGTTAAAACTTTTTATAAATTGGTTATTTCAATTTACTTTTCACTCATGCATTTCACCCATCTTTATTACATTCCATATATAATTGATTATTTATTTAATTAATAATGAAAACCCATATGTTCCATTGTTAATTATTTATAGCTTTTTTTTTATTGGTTACTAAGAATGATTTTTTCCACATTTTTAAGCAGAGTACACTGTGGTAGAATTTTTCATTGAAAAAAATCATAAAATTTATTTTAGTGCATGAAAAACCATCAAATATTTTTAAAATGTAGTAATTTTCAAGGAAATCTAACAAAACAATTACTACAGAGAAATTGTATAAAACATTATATACCTTTACATTTCCTTTTTCTTTTTTAGTTCGCTAAACTTTTCATTTTGAATTTACTAAATGTATTTATAAAATTTTACGAAATTACACTACTAAGTTATTATCAATTTTACTATGAGGCATACTATATTTTACCCTTCAAAATATACACTATCTAGAATATGAAATATAAAAAAGATGAATGTAATTTAAAACAATATAACATGGACAAGAATTATTATATCACAAAATTCGACACAAACTTTATCATATTACGACGATAATGCTTGTCTCTCATGTAATTATCATTTTACAACTTTACGCAATACATGTAACATAATACGTGCAACGCAAAGGGATAATGATAGTAACTCATGATCAAAACCAATGTTCAAACAAATATCAACTTTGAATATTGAATTAGACAGAATATGCAGCGGAATGATGACAAATTCAAATACTTACATGAATACCAGAAACGCAGATTAGGATGATATTTGATCTCACGTGGACCAATTCACGAGTTCAAAAGAGCCAACAACCCAACTCAATCCGATGAGTGGAACTATTGAATTCTAACAACGCCCCTTACGAAAATCTTACAAGAAGAACCAATAGATATTGATCTATAGCTCTTAAGTATCAAAATCAAAAGACAACGTTACTATAGACGCCACTTTACAGCGAACCACACAAGAAGGATCAGTCTTAAAGATCGTCACTACTCACAAGAACAAAAACTCAGAAAGGTTAAAACCTCACAAAATCAATTCAATTCAACTTATTATATAGAACTCGAGGTGCGACCCCTCCCTTTTATAAGGGTGGTAGGCCGAATTTCCAAGAGAAGAAATAAGACACTTTCCCTAATTCTACGAATTCAAAATCAAATTGGACTCTTTGACTCCTAGTTTTCTTTATGACCAAGAAAACGACTCTTCCATAGACCTAATACATTAGATCTATGTGTGAAAAGAAATTAAAACTCCTATTGCTAAGGAGATATTCTCGAAAAAGAAGCTTCCTCCTTGCGCCAATCCTTGGTGACAAAGTAATCTCCTTTTCTTGAGCTCCACTCAACCAATATCTGCCTTGTAGAGTATTTATTTGCCAAAAATAAATAATTAAATAAAGGTGGCCGAGATTTCCCTCCTATAATGTAGGAATAGAAGGAATCTTGGCTCCCTTAACCCTTAAGTTAGGGCTCGGGCGCGCGCATCTCCACTCGCACGGCCAATGGGCTCTTGGCTCTTCAATGGGCCTTGAGTTGTGCCTCCATCTAGGTCTATGAGTCAATTTAATTGCACTTGCAACACATTAACAATCTTGGACTTGTATCCAACACATTTAACCATCTCATTAGCCCAAGTAGACATAACTAGATTGTTAAGAGCAGTCGTCACAGTCTTGGATCTTGAACGGGTGATCGGGCCAACAATGTTAGTCAATGGATCCCTAATATAAGGATTCTTCATAATTGGCTCAACAACGATCAACAACAGTTTGAACATCAACTTTCATCTTAGACCAAAAGAAATGTTTTTGTAACACATCTAAGGTATTCGGAGTACCAAAATGTCCCATTAAGCCACCACTATGTGCTTCTCGAACCAGCAAATCTCTCATTAAACTCTTTGGTATAAAAAGTCGATTTTCTCTAAAAAAATAACCTTCATGCCTCTAAAACTTATCAAAGGCACTTTGCTCACAAGCATCATATATATTAGAAAAATCCGGGTCAGTGACATATAAATCTATAAAAAATTCAAAACCCATCAATTTCGCATTAAGAGAAGTTAATAAAGAATAACGTCTAGACAAAGCATCAGCAACAACATTTTCTTTTCCCTTTTTATAATTGATAACATACGGAAATGTTTCAATGAATGCTTCCCATGTAGCATGCCTTTTACTTAAACGGTTTTGCGATTTTAAATGCTTAAGAGACTCGTGATCAGTATGAATGATAAACTCTTTAGCCATCAAATAATGTTGCCAAGTCTCTAAGGCTCTAACCACAACATATAATTCCTTATAATAAGTTGGATAATTCAGACAAGCTCCATTTAACTTCTCACTAAATTAAGCATTAGCTCTCTTATCTTGCATAAGTACAACTCCTATTCCTATCCCAGATGCATCACATTCTAACTTAAAAGTTTTATCAAAATCAGGTAATGCTAAGACAGGGGCAGTACACAAATCTTTCTTAAATTTCTCAAACGCTTTCTCATAAGAGGGTCCCCATACAAACTTAATATCTTTTTTGACTAACTCATTCAATGGGGCGGCTTTTGTAGAAAAGTCCTTAACAAACCTCCTATAAAAACTGGCTAAACCATGAAATCTTACTTGAGATACGATAGTAGGTATAGGCCAATCTTTTATAGCTTATATCTTAGACTCATCAACATGAATTTCATTTCCACTAACAACAAAACCTAAGAACACTACTTCCTTAACACAAAAAGTACACTTCGGTAAGTTAGCATATAGTTTCTCACTTCTTAGCGTTTGTAAAACTAACCTCACATGTTCAGTATGTTCTTGCAAATCCTTAGACTACACTAATATATTATCAAAGTACACTTCTACGAATTTCCCAATATAATGTCTCAAAACATGATTCATTAACCTCATGAAAGTACTAGGTGCATTACTTAACCCAAAAGGCATTACTAACCACTCATACAATCCAAACTTAGTTTTGAATGCAATTTTCCACTCATCTCCTTGTTTAATTCTAATTTGATAGTAACCAGATTTCA